GAGCGGCTGAAGTTTAACGGGCCAATGAACATCCTGCGTCTCAACAACCTGATGGCCAGTAAAATCTGGACTCCAGACACTTTCTTTCACAACGGCAAGAAATCTGTGGCTCACAACATGACCATGCCCAACAAACTACTGCGGATTATGGAGAATGGCACTCTACTGTACACCATGAGGTACCCCTGTACTAGAGTTATCAAATAAATGAATCGAAATAATTACATGATATGCTGATTAATTAATCAAACTATTCACAATCAATCACATATATCAATATTTGATAAGAAAAGTACTCAAAATCAATATAATTGAAAGACATTACAAAAAGGGTCTTTAGAAGTCAAAATATTGTTTTATTTCCACTTCAACATATTTTCTTAAATGTATGTGCATAATAAATATACACAGTACACACACATGTATTATGTAAACATAAACTTTTATTTTGGGTTCGATTAATCGCAGTTAATTGTTTGACAGTCCTAATTTGTTTTTAATGTTTTTGAAAGACATCTGTTATGCTCATCGGTTGAATTTATTTGATCAAAAATACAATAAAACAATAATATTTCTATTTTAATATGTTTTAAAATGTAAAATATTTCTTTGAATTTGCAGTAGATATCACTCATTTATTTGAAATAGACATTTGTGACCCTGGAGCACAAGACCAGTCTTAAGTCGCTGGGGTATATTTGTAGCAATAGCCGAAAATACATTGTAGGGGTCAAAATTATAGAATTTTCTTTTATGCCAAAAATCATTAGGATATTAAGTAAAGATCATGTTCCATGAAGATATTTAGTAAATTTCCTACTGTAAATATATCAAAACTTAATTTTTGATTAGTAATATGCATTGCTAAGAACTTCATTTGGACAACTTTAAAGGCGATTTTGTCAGTATTTTGATTTTTTTTGCACCCTCAGATTCCAGATTTCCAAATAGTTGTATCTCGGGCAAATATTGTCCTATCCTAACAAACCATACATCAATGGAGAGCTTATTTATTCAGCTTTCAGATGATGTATAAATCTCAATTTAAAAAAAATAGACCCTTATGACCGGTTTTGTGGTCCATGGTAACATTTTTGTAACATTATAAATGTCTTTACTCTCACACTGGATTAATTTAATGCATCCTTGCTGAATGGAAGTATTTATTTCTTCAAAAAAATCTTATATATCGTATAATTAACATTAAGCTTGAATTGCTCTGATGGTGGGAAAGTTCCTTTTTATACATTTTATTATTTTTATAACTAAATAAATTTTAAATTAGTACTAAATTAATGAATTAAATTGACTGCCCTAGGAAGAACACATCCTTTTGAGGGGTATTTATGTATTTGTGCAGGTTGACAGTGCAAGCTGAATGCCCAATGCATCTTGAAGACTTTCCAATGGACTTCCATTCCTGTCCGCTTAAATTTGGCAGCTGTAAGCAAAAATGCTAATCATTTACTTTATTTCCCATGATGCTTAGTGTCTGTCTGTGCTTTGGGTTTTATTCAAATATATTGTGTCTGTGTGTAGATGCTTACACTCTGACAGAGGTGACGTATGTTTGGACTCGTAATGCCACCTTATCGGTGGAAGTAGCTCCAGATGGATCTAGACTTAACCAGTATGACTTAACGGGACATACTGTTGGCAAAGAAACCATCAAGTCCAGTACTGGTAAGACATTCGCAAGCAGTCACAAAATGATCTGCATCCATATGCTCCTATCCATCGTTCTTCCCTCATTCGTGTTTCTCTCCTGCTGTGCAGGTGAATATACAGTGATGACTGCCCATTTCCATCTGAAGAGGAAGATTGGGTACTTTGTGATCCAGACGTACCTGCCTTGCATAATGACCGTCATCTTATCCCAAGTCTCTTTTTGGCTCAATCGAGAGTCTGTCCCCGCACGCACAGTTTTTGGTGGGTGAGCATGTGTTGTGTAATCAGAACATAATGTGGAAAGGTTTTTAATTCTGTTTATTATGCCACATATTTCTTTGTTAAATCAGTTTAGCATGCTTATTTTGTTGTTCTTATTAAATTACTGATGCAGTCATGGATAAAGCTGATGTAGAATGTGTACATTTTTTGATTTTCTCTAGCAGTTTCAATTTCCTTCTGAACTCTAGGGAAACATTTTAAATGGCTGCGAGCAAAGGCAAACAGCTATAAAATTGGCCTCCATTGTGTTTTTGGAGAAAAATTTGTCCATGCAGTTATGTGCATGAATGTGTGTATTTTTGTTCATTCAGTGGGAGGAATCCTTAGCATCCAAAAGACACATTTAAATTAAACACGGACTCGCAGGGGGAACTTAGTTAAGAATGAAACGCTGATAGCATTGTTTATTCACAAGCTTTGTTGTTTTAGTGGCCAATTCACTAAAGCAATTATGCGAATGAAAAAATGTGCACACCACAATTCTACATCTTGCATCAGTGCTCGGTGTGCGGGGGGATACAAACTACCCGTGTGTGGTACAATTTACCGGGACTGTACAACATTACTACACCACTGTGATCCAGGCACCTAAATTGGCTCTTGAAAATGCTGGCTATATGATCACTTGGTCATCATTTGATTAGTTAATGCTGCCATGATAAAAAAAAAACACAATGGCAAAACTGAATTATGCTTGGTGCAGTGCAATACCAGCACAGATAGCACATGGCTCAACCAGATTGCAAAACTGCCAAAATCACAATGGTTTAACATTTGAAATAAAGAAAACATTTGAAATAAAGAAACTGAGATGTAAATATTAGTGCTGTGGTTTTACAATTGTACTGTAAAATGAAATAATTTTTATTAAACACTAGATTATGGTTACTGTAAGAGGTTTGAGCTGGTTCTTTTAATGAGTAAACTCCAAATCATTCTGCCTTAATGGGATGTATTGCACTTAAACAAATCTTCAGAGTAAAAAGTATTTTTTTATCATTATAAAAGTCATTTTCATCATTATTTTTATTTTCCATGCAGATGCACTCCTGTATAAAACCACCCCAGTCATTCTAGAATGATAAATTTTTTTCCCCAAATAAAGCTATTTAAATCATCTGGTGAAAATTCCTTTGTTTCTTGATCTGAAAGAAATGTCTTGAGTTGATTAAAAAGATAAAAGTGAGATATTAAAAAAAAGAGTAGCATTTCTTGCATTTTTCTATGTTTGCTCTCTAATATCTGTTATAATGATGAATATACAGTATTTGGATTGATTTATTTTCCTGGAGGATGCAAAAATTCATTAAAATTGTTTTCAAAAAAACAGAAGATCATCTATATAAAATGAGGACAGGAGGTCCTCTTAGGGCATATGACTGACTGCTGAAATGAACACAATTTCTTTAGCCCAGGGCATTTGTGATTACACGCGTACATCTGTGCTGTCTCTTCCACAAATGAGTGAACGGCATAAATGCTGGTAATTATCTGCAGTGAGTCATGCTGCACTAATGCGGTATCTGTATATACAGTGCTCACTGAGTCTTTTTTTTGTTGTTGTTGTTATTTTGCTCTAGGTGTGACTACAGTGCTAACGATGACCACTCTGAGTATCAGCGCTCGAAACTCTTTACCAAAGGTGGCCTACGCCACAGCCATGGACTGGTTCATTGCTGTGTGCTACGCATTTGTTTTCTCTGCTCTCATCGAGTTTGCCACAGTAAACTACTTCACCAAGCGCGGCTGGGCCTGGGATGGCAAGAGCATTGTCAGTGATAAGGTAACCATGACGACACAGACCGGGCTTTGATTTTGGAGTGGAGCACATCTGGTAGCTTTGATTATTGTCATTGGGAAGAGGGGTTATTTAGATGAGGGAAACCAACACTGTTAATTCAGCACAGTTAAAGAAAAAAATCACCCAAAAATGAAAATTTACTGAAAATGTACTCACCCTCAGGCCATCCAAGATGTAGATGAGTTTGTTTCTTCATCTGAACAGATTTGTTGAAATGTAGCATTGTATCACTTGCCTACCTCTGCAGTGAATGGGTGCCATGAGAAAGAGAGTCTAAACAACTGATAAAAACATCACAATAATCCATACGACTCTAATCACTTCTGACCAAAATCCATCCATCCACCCATCATTCCATGGGCTCACGCCAGTTGGTGTCCAATGCCCGTCTGACACTCCATTTCCACTGTGCACGGTCCTGTGCCATCCTGCTAAGAGAGTGGATGTCCCTCTGACACCATTCTTTGATGTCATCTAACCACTCCCTACTCGGTCTTCCTCTCCATGTCTGTCCATCCATGCTCCCAATCACCACACACTTCACCAGTCGCTTGTCCTCCATCCTGCAGATATGTCCAAACAGGCTGAGCTTCCTCTCCATGATGAGGTGTACGATGTTCCTCGTGCTTCCAACTCGTCTTTACACCTCCATGTTTGTGATTTTCTGATGCCAGTGAATGTGCAAGATTCTCCTGTAGCACTTCATTTCAAACACCCGCAATACATCTTTGTCTTTCTTCCTCAATGTCCATGTCTCACAAGCATACAGCAACACACTCATCACACATGTCCTGATTATGCTGATTTTGGTCTCTGTTCTGATATGCTTACTGTTCCATTTACGGTGTCACTGTTACCCCTATCAGTGTACAGACCACTGCAATATTCTGTCCACCTTTTCTTAACTTCTGCTTTATCTTGTAACATCTTACCATTCTTGTCCTTGATGGTTGACTGCTTCGGTTTCCACGCTCGGTTTATCTGGTTGATGAGCTTATATGCCTCTCTGATTCTGTTGTCTCCTGCAAGCCTCTCAATATCCTGGCAGTGTCCTTGTAGCCACTCCTCCTTGTTTGTCCTTGCTGCTTTCCTCACCACATTGCACGTCACTCTGTACTCCTTCTCCCTCTCCTCCGATTCTTGTCTTCTCTGTTTCATCTCTCTTTTCGTCTTTGCCAGTTGTAGTGTGTGTTCCATGATCCACGGTTTGTTTTGCTTACACACTGTTGGTAAGACTTCCCTCACAGATGATTGTTTCGCTTCATTCAACCGTCGAACTCTGTCATTTAGTTCCACTGGCTGCGATGGTGAGTTTGCAAGTCTTTGCTCCACTTTGTCCTTGAACACTCCCCGCACCATTGCATTTCCAAGTGCATTGATGTTCCTTCTTGGTTCATGTAGTTGTTGTCTCGTTGTCCTTTTCAGTCTTAGCTTCAGTTTGTACATCACCAAACTGTGGTCTGAGGAGATGTCTGCTCCTTGGAACGTTCTGCAAACACGCACTGCAGTTTTCCATCTCCTGTCTACCAGCACCAAGTTGATCATGTTGGTGTACTTGCCATCGGGTGCCATCCACGTCCACTTCCTGCTGTCCTTCTGCTGGAATCTGGTGTTGGTGATCAGTAGATCATTCTTAGACGCAAATTCCAGTAGCCGTTCCCCTCTATTATTGCGCTGTCCATAGCCATGACACCCCATCACCTGCTCCCAGCCCAAGTTATCCGTTCCAACCTTTGCATTCCAGTCGCCGATCACAATTTTCACATCTTTCTTTGGCAACTCCTCGATGGTGTGCTCCAGCTGCCCGTAGAACGTTTCGACCTCTTCCTCGGTACTGTCTGAAGTTGGTGCATAAACCTGAATCACTGCAATGTTCAGAGGTGCTCCGTTGAACCTGGCCACTATGTTACGAGAGTTTACAGGGTTATACCCGAGTAGTGCATCTTTCGCTCGCTTGCTAAGCAAGAAACCAACTCCCCTCATGTGATTTTTCTCTTCTCCTGACCAAATCACTTCTCCTCCATTCAGCTCTCCCACACCTGTCCAGCGCATCTCTGACAGTCCCAATATATCGCACTCATATGGTGTCATTTCCTTACGTAACAGCTCCAGTTTGCCAGGACTTCTGAGAGTCCGTACATTCCATGTACCTATCTTCAGAAAGTCCGTTGCTGCTTTGAGTTTCTTTTCTCCTTCTCCTTTTCCTTCTACTCCAGTAGCTAACCTTTCAACCCAGCCCCGGTTTCCCAGCTGAGGACGCGGACCTTGTATAACCGGGCGACGTCTGAGCCGGTGTGTTCCTGTTTGTTTGGATGTCATTGTGCATTGGATTTCATTCGTCTTGTTTCTTTTACAGGTGGCAGTATCTGCACCCCACCACCCAACCCTCCTCCTTTATCCGGGCTTGGGACTCTGACCAAAATACCAGTCCACAATCCATAATAACACTTCCTTCAGTAAAACATTCCATCCCCTGTTGTCCTCTCACATCAAAATATTTGTTTAGAACCATTTTCGCTTGCAAACAGTGTTTTATCTGTGCATACTTCTCTTCTGATTCACACAAGACAACTTTTTCACTGAAGAAAGCAATATTATGGACAGAGGACTAGTTTTAACCGGAAGCAACCGACTGAAGTTAAAGTCTTAATGATGGATTTATTACAAACATGTAGCTAACCACTTCACAAGATGTTAATTGATGGACTGGAGTGGATTACTTGTGAATAATTGTGATGCTTTCATCAGCTGTTCTGACTCTCATTCTGACGGCACCCAATCACTGCAGAGGATCCTTTGGTGAGCAAGTGATGTAATGTTACATTGCTCCAAATCTGTTCTGATAAAGAAATAAACTCATCTATATCTTTTATGGCCAGAGGGTGAGTAAAATTACAGCAAATTTTTATTTTTGGATGAACTGTATCTTTAAACTCCCATCATTGTGAACATTGTCTGATATTGGGCGTCTCTTTTACTTAAATGACTTAAAAATTATTAGAACATTTAACATAATATCATTGACTGAACATGTAGCATTGCGCTAACTAATTTCTTCTGACTTCAGAAAAAGGAAACTTCCGTTATTAAAAAGAATAACGCATATGCAGTCGCTGTGGCAAACTACGCGCCCCACATTGCGAAGGACTCAGCTCTGCCCACTGTCTCTAAAAGCGCCACAGCGGAGCCCAGTAAAGCTCAGCCAGTGGCTAAAGAGGCACTGAAGACCTTCAACAGCGTCAGCAAGATTGACCGTATGTCCCGCATTATCTTTCCAGTGCTTTTTGGCAGTTTTAACTTGGTTTATTGGGCCACATATCTCAACAGAGAGCCTGTTATTAAGAACATGGTGCCCTCCCAGTGAGCCATTAGCTATTGCACATACAATCATCCCTCTATACTATTAAATTATAATAGCAGTTTTTGTACAAATTCTTCAGTGTACTTTTGACGTTTCTGTATGGCAGCATTAAGAAATTAACAAATTGTACAGCCTCCTTACAATCTTACCACTGCCAGGACAATTTGAAGAGTATCTTATACTTTAACGGGACAAATTGACTTATTTTCACAGCTTTATTTTTGTATGTTGTTATGTGATTTCTGGTTATTGATTTTTTTTTTTACTACATTTGTATATTATACAGTATATTTATAACATATCAACCTCCATTTAAACCAAGTGTTTATGTCAATGTATTTTGTGTTTTGGCTAAATTATGAATTAAACTCACAGGTATTGTGCATAAACTACATACTGTTTAAAATGAAAGCGCATACTAAATGTGGTAGCGGTGTTATTTTGTTATAACTGCACTACAGTATCTGTAAGACAGATCACTGCACCTTTATATTGACTGATGTAGCATTTCAAGTCAAAATAAGTATGGCACCTTATTTTCGTGCATCGAAATTGATTGCATATTAGCTTTCACTCTCAGCGCGCACCTGTGCATCTAATTCTCAGCCATAAGCAATGCATCATCAATGAAAGCGCACACCCACACATGGTTTAAAGGTAAATGATTCAATGAGTTTGTTTGAAGTACCACAATGCTTCCATGAGCATGAGCACAGTCTCAAGTGGAATTAGTACTGCATTTGAGCCACTGCTGTTTCTTTGGTTCACAGTTAATGGAAAATGCTGCTGAGATTTTCCCAAATAGTTTACATTTTTAATTTGCTTGGGTTGAAATGAGAGCAATATGTTGGTCTTACTGTATGTGTTACTCAAACGGTGACGCTTCTAAAGTCCAGGCCACTGACACTCACATTAGCTTAATGTTGCAACAGTGATATGATGTTGTTCATATGTTATTTTCAATATGTCTATTGTAGCTTCATGATTAATGCAGATAATGGTTGTAATGGGCTTCTCAGTATGATACATACGCCTAATGATGCTATGAAAATGGGAATCAAAATGTACTCTTCGCTCAATATATCATCTGTCAAATAGTTTCAGAGTTTTCATTACTAACATCAACAATCCAGACAAGTGTCAATGCTTGAATGAACTACTGTGTGGGCTTACTTTTAACAGCTTTTCAATTTGCCATATGGTTCTCAGTTTTCTGCCTGGGCAAAGAGACAGCTCCCCTGTTGACTAAAATAAAGTGTTATCAAAGCCAACATGGCTCCGTTACTCTCCTTTTGTGTGGGTGATCGTGATTGTGCCCCTCCTTTGGCAATGTGCAACACAAAAATGCCATAGTCCTTACTGCAAAATAAAAACAACAACAAAAAAACTCTCAGCTTTACAATCAAACAGCACAAACCACTGTTATTATAATATCATTGAAAACCTATTATTACAATTTGAATTAGGTTTTTGTTTGTTTGTATGTATTCTGTTTTCATATTAAATCAAAGGTTTTAATAATTTTGTTGTATTTGGTCATTTTTATTATTTTTATATATATCTATACAGTTTTTATTCATTTTTATTACAGTTTTAGTTTTTTAGTACATCGAGTTAAAGGAATAGTTTACCCAAATATGAAAATTTGCTGAATATATATTCACCCTCAGGTCATCCATAATATAAATGAGTTTGTTTATTCATCAGAACAGATTTGGAGAAATTTAGCATTACATCATTTGCCCAATGGATCCTCTGCAGTGCATGGGTGCCGCCAGAATGAGAATCCAAACAACTGATAAAAACATCACAATAATCCACAAGCAATCAATTAATGTCTTGTGAAGTGAAACGCTGCATGTTTGTAAGAAACAAATCCATCATCGAAGTATTTTAAGGATAAACCATCGTTTCTGGACAAAATAATTCTTCCTAATAATAATGCTTCCTCCAGTGAAAAACTCCATCCCCTGTTGTCGTCTCACATCAAAATCAACCAAAATATTTGTTTAGAACTGTTTTGGACTGTTTGTGCTTGTAAATGGTGCTTGATCTGTGCATATTTCTCTCCTTAATTGAACGAGACGACTTTTTCACTGGAAAAAGCAATATGGATAGAGGATCTGTATTTTATCTGGAAGCAATGGTTTGAAGCAAAAAAATGTCTTAATGATACATTTCTTTTCCCACTTCACAAGACATTAATTGATGACTGGAGTTGTGTGGATTACTTGTAGATTATTGTGATGTTTTTATCAGCTGTTTGAACTCTGATTCTGATGGCACCCATTCACAGCAGAGCTTCCATTGGTGAGCAAGAGATGTAATACAAAATTTCTCCAAATCTGTTTTGATGAATAAACAAACATCTACAGTACATCTTGAACTATTCCGTTAAACAAAAAAAACAACAAAAAAGAAATGCTGCCTTATTAGTAACTGACTGAAATCAAATAGGTTTAAGTTTTTATTTTTATTTTGTTATTTATTACATTTAGTCAACAAAAAGTTTTTATGGTTTTAGCTTTAGTTAATTATAATAACCCTGGCACAAACCTAACTGCAGTCTAAATTTCACTCAGTGAAATGGCATTGAGCTGACGTGGCACTAGTCAATACACATTGATAAGTTTGCCATGTGCCGACTGCTTCTTTTATTGAAAAACCTGCTTCTGGTCAAATCCACTAGACTCCTAATCCATATTGTCTTTCTGCATTTCATTGCCTGTTTCATCCGTCTCTCCATTCTGTCTGAGAGCTTTTTGTGTAGGTGACTCTGCTTTGACTAAGCAGCAGAATTTGAGATTAGCAGCGTTGAATGGAGAACCAGGAATTTGTGTGCATTATCTAAGATCTTGCTTTAATAGCATAACGGCGGCGTTCCCAGCTCATCTCTTTTGGTTATGGAATCGGTATCTGCATGTATGAGATACAGCTAGCAGTGACCACACAAGGCTAAACAGAAAAAGACAGTACTCCATTAACCTCCCCTCACTCCTTTGCACCTTCTGGAAAAGCATCTTTGGGTACAAACAAGCATCTGTCAGAACACAGTCATGGCACACACAGACTTGACCGGGGGGAGACTCAAAAACTAAGCTGGATTTCATTTATTGGCCCCTTTTAAGGTAGAACTGATGCTGGCTCTTTGATAGGTGGCATTAACAGAGCATTCTGCCTTAAGCAACATCTGTGAGGATGTCGTGAGGGTTTATCTGATGTGAAAGATCACAGAGGCAGAGCATCCAACCAAGTTTGTGTTTGCTTGTGTCTGGGAACAGGCTGAAGCCATTTGAAGCCTTCACAAACACTGCCTAACGTTTACAATGGATTCCTCAGCTAACAATGCATGTCGTGAAAAAAAAAACAATATGAAACCAAAACGACAGAAAAAAGTCATTTATTCTTCCAAATAAAGGGAACTGATGTGGTATTTATTTAATTCACCTCCAGCACCTGTTGAGAATGTTTGAACATCTATGATATATATATATGCAGAGCTGCTGCTCTAAATTATAATTGTTTGTTTAATGAGAATGTATTTCATTGTTTCTTAATTGCATTCATCCTCTCTAGCAGACTGACAATGTCACAGCGCTTTCCTTTCAAGATTTGATTTGTTGTCGCTTATGATAAATGAACAATCAGAGAGAACAAACAACTCGGTGACAATGTTCAACAATGGCCGTTCAATGGAAATATATCACAGCTATTGTTTTCACATGGACATGCCCTCTTTACAGTACTTTGTTATAAAATTGTTTTCTATATTTGAAATAAAATAAAATAAAATTACATTTCAGTTAGTTGCCAAGTTAGTTACTGTCACCCCCTATTTTTGAACATAGACGTGAAAGTGCACTATCCTAACTTCAATTGTTATCAGAGAATATCTTGGGCACGTCTCGGGTCCACATAATTTTGTCTCACAATGTTAATGGCTGACAAAATAATAGAGATTTTTTCCATTCCTTTCATTTGTGTCAGAGCATCAGAGCACATCTGAATACAAAGTACTTCACCAGCTGAAACAGAGCACTGGCCTTTATACTAAAATCATTCCAGCAATTTAAACATTTAGTGAGAAATGTATAATCAAATATAAATCGAAACATATCCAACATATCATTATAGTAGAATATTACTATGAACTATAAAACAAATTAATGTGATGTTCTGATACACATCTGATATTTCAAACTTTTGAATGACTTTTTGAATGATGTTATAATTTGAATCAGAATTCAAATAATGATAGCAAAAAGAAGAGGAAATTGTCTTGGCTCTGGCAAGTGTCTATTTCTGCTCTTGCTGCATGGAACTCTCCATGGTGCTGACAATAATAGAGTATAAAACTGAATGAACAGTCAGTTAGCCTATATATCAAGAGGTGAATGTCTTCCAGATCACGAAGCCATATATGGCCATGAATATTGCAAAGGTGACTTAAAATGGAGCTGCAATGGCTGTGTGTTGTAAAGGTCTGTTGCTTTGTAATTTGTAATCTGCCATGTTGTACACCATATGCACCTGGAGGGTCAGAATGGCATTTTGGATTTAGTGGATTCTTTTTTTTAGCTTTATTTTCAATGTAACGAAATCATATAAGAATTTGATCATACACAAATGTTTCAACCATTTTAATTTTTTTCACTCCACTGTGTACATGGAGATCTACTTGCAAAGTTCATCTTCAAACCAAATCACATGAACCAGCTAATTAAGATCTTCAAGAGCACTTGAAAATTACAAACAGGTGTGTTGGAGGACGTAGATCCTCAAGAACAGGATCACCCCTGAAAGCTGAAAAATGCTGCCTCCGCAGGTAGCATATGGAGGTAGGATGGCAGCAAGGCACATTCGAATCCAATGATCGTTGTGCATACGGTCTACTGAGATACCTTCTTTTGATCGATTTTTTTTTAAATGCCTTTGATATCCCACAATCCTGTGTGTTCAATTTCCTTTGACAGTTGAGCTAATAAATAAATATTTCATCTGAAAGTTGTGTTTGGTGGTCAGTTTGTGTGTAGGCTAAATGTAATTTTTTGACCAACTGATGTAACATTTAGTGAGAAATTAGTATTGTAGTAATTAAATATTAGCTTAGTTATTATCAAAGCTCTCTCTCTATTGTGTTGTAGATCATTAAACCGTCATGCTGTCTAAGAAGTCCATTCAAAATCAGTTTTGTGAGGTAGGCTACCTTTGTGCGCAAACCAGGGGCGTAGATTACGCGGGGGACACGGGGGACGTGTTTTTAATATCACGTAAATTCGTCCCCCGCACTTTTTCGGGCAAGTGTGTTCGCATAGAGGTTTTCAAGAGCCGGTGTGAATAAATATAGATTTAAATTCAAAGAGACAGGATAGTCTGTGCATGATCTGATGTTTTATTCGGACCCAGAATACTCGAGGCCGGAGGTCGTATGAGGAAATTCCTAATATGGACAAAAGCGTCCAGCTATGCTGTATGAAAACTGTTTTTTTCAGAAAAACAGAAACGTTTGGAAACATGAAGACTTTAAACATACGATTGCAACAATATATGGTTTATTTGTGTTTGTCAAGTCATCTCCAGGTAATAAATAAAGTATATGAATAATGCAGTGCTAATTGACATAGCATTTATTACAGTATTGAAACTATTCTGCCTTAT